CTAGGGCCTGGCCTTCAGACTCCCATCTCCACTGAGGGGTGCATGTGAAAGCCCTAACAATGGAAACACAGGGGGTGTCAGGCAGTGGGGGCTTCACTAACATTCTTCAGATGTCACTTCCTCCAGGAGGCCTTCCCTGATTAGAATTGTCCCTTCCTCCATCATCAGGGAAGAGGCAGGAGCCTCTGTCAGGAGCCCCCTAGCCCCCTGTTCTACTGCTATTACAGCACATCCATATTCATGCCAGGGACTTATATACTCATTCATCCAAACATATTTGAAAAAATATATATTTGAGCAACTACCATGTGCCAGGTACCACTTTAGAGGCTGAGATAGTGAACAAAACAGACAAAAATCCCCCCCCCATGTAGTGTACGTTTCTAGCGTGTGCTTGAGGAGACAAACATGTGAACAGTGGAATATATAACATGCTAGGTAGTGATAAGTGCTATGGAGAAGAATGAAGTAGGGAAGGGCCACAGGGCATGCTGGGCGGCATTGGCAGCAGGAAGGTCAGTTTGAAAGAGGACGGTCAGAGAAATTGGATAGAAGTGACACTGGAGCACAGATGGTGAAGGAGGTGAGGAAGGAAGGGGCTCTAGGCAGAGGGACCAGAAGTACAAAGGCCCAGAGTGGGGAGTTGGGCTCCCCCGACTTGGAGAACAGCAGAGGTGGCCTGGCTGCAGGGGTGGGAGGGGGGGTAGAGGTACAGAGGAGAAGGGGAAGGAATGGGGGCAGATTACACCTTTATGCCCTGTCCCACCTCTCAACACCCATGCTTTAGCATATTAACGTGAAACAGAGGCTCTGACTCTAGCTAAGCCAGCCAGGAGTAAGCCACTCATCGTCTAGGGGAAGGTTTTCTAGGCAAAGCCAAAGAAAACAGTGTCAAATTCTTGGCTTTTAAGTCTCAGAAGGCAGGGCCAGGTATAAGATGGGAAACCTGTAGGAGGGTGCAAGTTCTTCCAGACTGACCCAGGCCTCCCTCCAGATTCTTTCCCCACTCTCAGCTGGACTACATGAAGATTCCATGGACTGGCAGGGTGGGGTGGAGACGGTTCTGAAGAGACCAGCTGAGAGGAGGTGGTGCAGCTAGAGGCCACCATGTCTGCTTCCAGGACCAATGAGAAGTTCTCACCCCGAGAATCTGCAGTGAGGAGTGGTTGCTGTTCTATTCTTGCCACCAAGAGGCTGACAGTAGCCAGGCCAAGGCCTCTTCTTCATCTGGGGGAGTGATGCTCAATGCTTTGCCCAAGTGCCATCCAATCCTCTTCCAAGAATCCAGGGCACTTAACCCTCACCACCAAGCTCCTGATGGATGATGGAGCCTGACACTCAGGGTCTCACCAAGTGAGGAAGGTTCTGGATCCCCGACTCTGGTTATACACCCCAATGGGATTGCCTGGTGCCTGCCCACCTCTCACCCAGGCTGAGCCCCAGGAGACCCGGGTCAAATATGTTCTCCTCTCTGTGTATACCTCTCTCTGGATTTGATTACTTCCATATTTTGAGGGAGTTGAATCTGTTGAGAAGCTTATAACTTGGGTTTCATGCGTCCATTGGGAAATTCGAGGGGCATGAATTGTAGGGGAAATTTGGGTGGTTACACTCACTTCTTTCTAGTTTTCATCAGATTCTTAAAGGAGCTGCTGATGCAGGAAAAGGTGAGAACTTCTGGAATGGGGGATATATAATGTCACCCACAGGTACTAAAAATAGTGCCTAATATGGGCCAAGCTCTTTATGTTTTTTTCATCCCAAACTTGGGGTGTGTGTGCTAACCATATCCTCAATTTACACACAAGGCAGTTGGCCACAGGAAGGCCAAGGCACCTGGTTCAGGTAGTGGAGTGAGCTTTGAACCCAGGTGTTTAGAGCAGCTGTGTGTGCCCTGCAGTGTCTCCCTGCCCCTGACCTTGTTCCGCATCATAGGATGCACAATCCCTAAGACATCCAGCCTTCCATCACACACCCATTCTGGCTTTGTCACCCTGGAATGTTCTATAACTTTTATTAAATTTCATTTTTCCTTTCAAATCTGGGCTGATCTCCTCTTTGAGTAACACGTTTCTTCATGCTGTAGGACCCAAAATTCTTGTATTCTGTTATAAACTTGTCTTTTTTCTTTAAGGTGGAGCCTGAGTCCTAAAACCCTGGACTTTGATGAATAATACCGAATTCATTTTCTTTGTCCCGTTTATTCAGATTTTCTAAACTTCATATATCGAAGTCAAGACTGAATAGTTAATACCTCTGCTAATAGCTATCACTCATGGGATGTTTCCAAGTGACTGACATGGTGTTGATTTATATTTATGGTTTCATTTGATCTGCCTAATGCCCCTCTGAAGTACTATTATTATCTCCATTTTAAGGAAACTGAGGTTTAGATGGGTGATGGGAGCTGCTCAAGGTCACAGAGCTACTAAATGGCAGAGGTGGGCTTTGAACCCAGATCTGGAGGATTAACCATTACCCCATATTACCAAGCCACTTTACTTTGGTTGGCAGATGTATTCCTGTGTAGGTCTCAGTGGTGACAAGGACCCAGTGGTGTTTGGGTGGCTGCAGAGGATTAAGCAGGGTGGATTGGGAAGTCAGAGTAGAAGGGACTTGTTTCCCCCAAGGGCTCTTGAATTCTGGGCCCTCTCTGGGCCTGACCATACTGAGGTAACCTGAAGAAGTAGTGTAATGCAGACTCTGGAAGCCAGGCCCTATGGGGATGTGTGCCACTGCTTGGCCAACCTTCCTTCTGGAAAAAGGCAGGAGGCTGCTGCTGTCGTCCTGTGTTGCCTGTGTGGACTCCAAATACTGGTGATGTGAGAAGTTATCAGAACCGAGCAGCTCAGGAAATGCCTTTGGTGCCTGTGGTCCAAATTACAACTTGCACCTACCCAGTGAGTCACAGTTTGGTGTTGATACCACAATTATCTCATTGAATCCTTTGGGCTTCCTGGTAGGCTGTGATGATCATGTCCATTTGATAGATGGGAAAACACCAGAAGAGGTGGTGGGTGGGGGGGGGGAGTGAACTGCTCAAGGTCACACAGGGTCAAGAGTTGAACCCAGGTCCTACTGACTCTAAGTCTCGCTTGCACTAGACCAATGATTTCTTTTCTTTCTTTCTTTCTTTTTTTTTAAAAAAAGATTTTATTTATTTATTCATGAGACACACACACACACACACACACACACACACAGAGACAGAGACACAGGTAGAGGGAGAAGCAGGCTCCATACAGGGAGCCCGACGTTGGACTTGATCCTGGGTCCCCAGGATCACACCCTGGGCTGAAGGCGGCGCTAAATCGCTGAGCCACGGGGGCTGCCCAAGACCAGTGATTTTCAAACCTCATTCTGTGGAGTCCTCCTCTGGTGCTTGGGGCAGGCCAGAGCAAGGGGCTGTGCAGGAGGGCAATCAAGGGGTTGAGGCTCTGTTGTCCCTTTCCTTCTTCACTGGAGGCAGCTATGCCTGATACCCCTACACTTTTCAGTTACATAAACTATTGCTCCTTTTCACTAAGCATTTTCTATTCAATCACCTACAGAATAAATGATTGATGTACTAACCTTACTGGAAAAGTCTCCTGCCATTTGAAAAAGTATGAAGCTCAGGATAGAAAAAGCAAATTGGGAAGAGAAAAAGATTGAGGTGGGTATGTTTCTGTCCTGCTTTTTGAAATTCAGGGAAGAAAAACGCTTCTTGTTTTGCTCCCCATCCTATAATGATAATGGCAACAACAACAATGACAATAATAATAATTATTATTATAGCAAACTGGAGGCTTTTAGAGGCAGAAAAGACTTTAGAATCAATCCCATCATTACACAGACAGGAAACCAATATCCAGAAAGGGAATGTGGCTTTCTCAAGGTCATGCAGTGAATCCGTGGAAAACCTGAGGCTAGAATGGAGGTTACCTTCTCCCAGGTGTGCTCCACCTCTCCACTTCCTCAGTACTTCTTTCCCAGGCAAGCTCCTCAGTTAGCAGAGCTTCAGAGGGTCCTTGTGCTCAGGTATAGTGCTTGGTCACATGGGTCCTTATCTTATCCAGAAAATTCTTCAGTTTGGATTTCTGCATCGGGCTCGGTGGACATAGGGAAGCAATGGAGTGTCTGGCCTAGGGAGGCGGAGGAGGTGAAAGGAACAAACCCCCCTCTCTGCCTGAGTCCCGGCCCCTCTCAAGCGACAGGCCCACCTGCTGTCCTGGCCACAGAACCCCAGCTGAGACCGGGATCCCCAGGACCAGGCCAGGCATTGCCCAGTGTTGCCCACAGCAGGAGGATTAGATATGCTGAAGGTCAAGAGCAAGGAAGCTCTCCCACGGGCTGCCTCACTTTGCAGCCACCGGGTCAGATTTGTTTAGCTGTGGGAGGCGGGACTGGCAAGGGCAGAAGCGGCGGGCGCCGAGGGGCTCCTGCGCACAGGACCCAGGACCCTTGGCACCGACGGGGACTCAGCTGAAGAGGAAGAGGGACTCCAGATCCCGCCCACCGCCCTGTTCACAAACTGCTCGAAGGCGCACGGGAGCAACGACCTTTAATGTCCGATTTGTTTCCGACCCCGGCCGAGGGCCACCCAACACTCGGGGAGGGCGGAGGAGCGGCCGGACGGGCGCGAGGTGCCAGGCCGACGGCGCCCCCGCTGCCCCCGGCGCACGCTCGCTCCGCCCCCGCGCGGGCGGCCGCACCCACGCGCGCACGCAGACCACACGGACTCGCACAGACACACGCACGTGTACCCACGGTTACATACGTGCACACAGGGACTCGTTTGGGTATGTACAGAGAGACAGACGGACATCCCGGCCGGCGCCGGGGCCCCCAGGCTCTCGGCATGCTCGCCCAGCTCTCGCTGTACCTGGCACCCATGCCCCTGCCAGCAAAGCAGCTGCCCCCTCCCGCCCCCCCGCCTCCCCCGGGCGCCGCCGCCCCCCCCCCTCCGCCCGCCCTCCCCCCACGAGGGTTTCCGCCCCCCTCCCCCCCTGCAGGCCCCCCTAAAACTGCCCGGGCGCCAGGGGCATGTTGGTCTTGAAGCCCGGCTGCCCGTTGGCCACGTCGGGCGCGGCCTCGCAGGCGCCGTCGCCGGCCGCGGGGCTCCGGTGCTCGGCCAGGAGCTTGAAGGTGAAGAGCGGGCCCGAGTCCTGGCGGCCGCGGCGGCCGGGGGGCTCGGGCGCGGGCAGGCTCAGCAGCGCGCCGGGCGCCTTCCACTCGGGGAAGGCGCACAGCTCGACGGGCGGCGGCGCGGCGCGGCCCAGGTAGCCGGGGCTCGGCGAGGCCGACGGGAGGGTCCGCTGGCTGCCGCTCAGGCAGCTGCCGCTGTCGTCCAGCGAGTCCTTGCGCGACTGCGAGCGCTCCAGGGAGCCGCCGCGCGTCCACGGCCGGTAGGTGTAGGCGCAGCCGCCCAGGCGGCGGCGGCGGCGGCGGCGGCGGCGGCGGCCGCGACACTGGCAGCCGAGGATGCGCACGAAGGCGCGCTTGAACTCCTTGCTGGAGCACGGGTAGATGATGGGGTTGAGGCAGCTGTTGAAGTAGCCCAGCCAGAACACCACCTTGAACACGGCGTCGGGGGGCTTCAGGGTGGAGAACAGGGAGCCTGCGGGGGGGCGGGGCACGGGCAGAAAGAGACAGCAAGTGGTGAGTAGTGAGGCCCGCCCCGCCGCGCCCCGCCGCGCGCCCCGCCCGGCGCCTTCTCCGCCCGCACCGCCCGCCTCTCCGGCTCCCCGGGAGCGAATCCGACTTTCATCTCCAGGGCCAGCCTCCGCAACGCCCCCTTCACCCCTATAAGACCGTTCCTGGCCTGGCTGACCGGCCCCCGAGCTCCCCGTTCTCTCGCTTTTCCAAGGCAGGGCTCACGGCCTTCTAGCTCAGCCGTAGCTATCATCACCTGCGTTTGCACAGCTCGTGGGTCGCGGGCATTGTGCCAGGTAGGCGCTGTAGCTGCGTCATTTTGTCCTACAAAAGGCCTCGGAGCGGACGCCCCCTTTATTCCCGCAGCAAATAGGAGAGGTCTTAAAGACCTAGATGTGAAAGGGCACACTTTAAAAGTTAGAGAAGACAAGGTAAAGGACGATGTTTTTGATCCTGAAAAGAAAACGACTTAACACCTCAGACACATAAACTATGAGGCAAGGATGAGAGAAGGTATTTCCAATGTTTAAGACGGTCGAGGGATGGGTACTTAAGGATATAAAAGGAACTCCTGCAAGTCGACAAGAAAAAGGAGCATTCCCGATGTGGGCAAAGAAAATGAATAGGCAATTTACAAAACAGGAAACCCTAGGGCCAAGATGCTCAAAATATTAGGGAGTCAAATAAATTACAATGAAAACCATAGGCCAAGATGCTCAAAATATTAGGGAGTCAAGTAAATTACAATGAAACATAGGCCAAGATGCTCGAAATATTAGGGAGTCAAATAAATTACAATGTAAACCACACAGAGATACAACGTGTCTGTTGGGCTGGCAAAAATCAGGAAGTTGGAGAGTGCTAAGTGTAGGCAGGGTTGTGGGGACATGGGGAGCCTTCTTAAGGGCTAGTGGAGGCACAGGCTGTGAAGCAGTGCTGAAGACTCTGGCCCCACTTGGTCTCATTAAGTATATTTACAGACCTCTTAACCCAAAAGTTCTGCGCTAAGGCATAGATCTCAAAGAATTTTCACACAGGTCCATAAGGGGACATGCATGAGTATGCTCAGAGCAGTGTTGCTTATGATGACGGAGAGTTAGAGAGAACCTAGGTGTCCCTCACTGGGAATTATGGAAAGGGTGAGTGGGCTAGATGCCTAGTGCAGCGATTGTGCCACACTTAGAGCCCTGGATGGCATGTCCATGTAGCAATATGGAAAGATCCTAAAAACATCATTCTTTATGAACAAATAGGAAACAGAATGGAGATTTACAACATAATACTATTTAAGTAACACACCAAACAACCACACACATTTTGCAAAAAACACTTTCAAATAATGTCAAACACAAAATGGTTGCCTGAGGGGGTAGGCAGAGGGAAATGGGAATACAAGGAAATAAATCAATAAAGTAAGAGAGAGGCCTTCCAGTGAGATGCTATGATGGAAAAACATGATTAACTCATCCCTCTAATTTCAGAGCCAGAAACATTTTATGGCAATATTAAATTAAAAACAATTTTCATTTTAAATGCAAGGCAACTAAGACTTGGAGAGGGTAAATGACTTGCCCCAGGTTACACAGCCTGTTGGCAGTATAGCTGGGATTTAAACTAAGTTCTGCTTGAATACAAAATATGGTTTTCAAATGGTATTTATAAGACCCTTTGTGGAAAAATCAGAAAATACAAAAAAGCAAACAAAAATTATTTTGAAAGCACACATAACCCTGCAATGCAGAGTAATCACATTTGGTGTATATACCTTCAGATTTTTTCCCCTGTTGTATAACGCATTTTTAAATGTTTTGATAAATGCAATCATACGTTATAGGACCTTCCTTCCTCCCTCAGTCCCTCCTTTCCTTTCTTTCTTTTTTGTTATTTCAAACCATGTCTCTGGGCTCCTGGTGCAGGGCTAAGCCCTGCAAGAGTTTAAACTTAGAAAGAGCATTTATCCAGGGGCACCTGAGTGGCTCAGTCAGTTAAGCATCCAGCTTTTGATTTCAGCTCAGGTCATGATCTTAGGGTCGTGAGATCAAGTCCCGTGTTGGGCTTATTGCTCAGCATGGAGTCTGCTCCAAATTCTCTCTCCCTCTATCTCTCCCCCCTCTAAATAAATGAATAAAGTCTTAAAAAAAGAAAGAGGGCTACCCATACCTGGATGTAAGTGCTAATTATAAATGTACTTTTTTTTTAAAGTTTATTTAAGTAATCTCTACACCCAACGTGGGGCTCAAACTCACGACTCTGAGATCAAGAAGCTCATGCTGTAGCAACTGAGCCAGCCAGGCAACTCACTACACTGATTCTTATCCCAACTCAGGGGGAAATGTGGGAGTGGGCTATACATTCTTGGTTTGCTTTAAAGGAGACAGATAAGGGCACCACTTTGTGGTCTGATTTGTGGCAAGGTCAGCACCATTATGTTTTCATCCCACCATCCCAGATCCTTCGCTGTATGGAAGGCCCCCACTGAAATACACACATGGCATGTGAACACCTAATATCCATGACTGGATGAGTTGTCTCTGACCATGGGGATGTCCTTGTTTCTGTCACTGAGTCTGAAGGGCATAGGCACTGGTCTTGACAAATGCAAAGCTGGAGAATACATTTTGGGAGAAGTGGAGAGAGGGCAGAAAAGTAGGAAGCCTTGTACATTACCCTGGAGGGTAAGTGCTGATGAGCGTGTGTACAGGTAGGCACACTGTCTTAATGAGGACCCTCAGGCCCCAGGTGTGGGGATGCATAGGCAGTAGTGGCAAAAGCAAGGACATTAAGATTAGGAGAGCATGCTTGCTAAAAACAAACTCGTAGCTTTGCTTGCCAACCCCATTGAAGATGATAGTAAAATGTGAATGGCTTGACAGGGATACATCCTTAGGGATTGGCTCTTTTAAAGGCCAACCATAATGCTAACTGCTAATATTCATCAGAACCACTGTTTATATTGTATGTGTGCTCTGTACAGGTCCTGTGCTAAACCCTTTATACCATTAGCCGATTTAATTATTGAAATAATCCTTTGATGAAGGTATTATTGTTGGTCTCGTTTTACGGATCAGGGCACCAACATATGATAGTAATAGCTCTTTACATTTTTATACATTTATTCATTCGCTCATTCATTCATTCCACAAATACTGAGTTCCTGCTAAGTGCCAGGCATGAAGCCAAGTTACGGGGATACAGAGATGACTTGGGGTGTGGTCTCTGCCCCATGGTGGCCCACAGGCAAGTGGGGAGACAGACATAGTAACAGGTCATTGCAACAGAGCACACATGGCATTATGAGAGTGGCATAAATGTTACTGTGTCCCCCCCCCATGCCCAGATGGCATTTCTTTCTGGTTCTTCATTGCCATCATATTGGAAGCCCCTTATCAAGGACAAAGATGGGCTGGCTCTTTGCCTTGATTTTCTTACAAAGTATTTTTCAAGGACTATGGCTCTGAGAAGTATTCAGCTAAAAGTAAGGGAATTATGCTGACTTTTTTTTTCATAGCAGTTATTTATAGCCACATTGTGAGTTTGGACTCCCTGAGCTACTTGTTCCTCTGAGAAGAAGGTCATTCTTTGCCTTCCATTCTTTGCCTGCCTTTGTCACCCTTCCGCCAATTTAGGCAGTGTGATCCTGTGGCTTGAACACAGGGTGTGGGATCTCAGACCTACTTTTGAATCCCTTTTTTTGGGTACTAATGGTTTGGCTTTAGAAAAGTTAATTGGCCCTCTCAGACTCAATTTTCTCATCCATAAATCGGGGACAGTATCAGTTCCATAGGGTTATTTTGAACACATGAAAATATCCATGTAAAATACTTGACATAGGTATAATAAATAATAAATAGAGGCTGTTTTTCCAAAAATACTTTATATCCTGGCCCAATCAGGAGCCTTCTCCAGGAACTCTGCTCTGATGGACCCCACCCAACTCACACTGACTTCTTTATTCTGTACCCCGCAGAAGGTATACAGTCACATCTTATTCTATTATTTTACTGTTTGCCTGTTTATGTTAAGCCATCCCAGGGATGGTTGAGTCCTTCTCACCACCCAGACTTTAAATTCCTTCTGGGCAAGAACTACCTCTTCATTTCTATTCTTTTCCTCTCCAGATTTGTATATTTTTATTTTTATTTATTTATTTTTTAAATATTTTTTTAATTTTTATTTATTTATGATAGTCACAGAGAGAGAGAGAGAGAGAGAGAGAGAGAGAGGCAGAGACACAGGCAGAGGGAGAAGCAGGCTCCATGCACCGGGAGCCTGACGTGGGATTCGATCCCGGGTCTCCAGGATCGCGCCCTGGGCCAAAGGCAGAGGCGCCAAACCGCTGCGCCACCCAGGGATCCCTGTATATTTTTATTACACAAATAACAGATGGAGGGATGAATAGAGGGAGACCAGAGGATTTTTAGGGCACTGGAACTACTTTGTATGATGTTATAATGGTGGATACATGTCATTATACATTTGTCCAAATCCATAGAATATACAACACCAAGAGTGAACCCTAATGTAAACTGTGGACTTTGAGTGAAAATGCCATGCCAGTGAGGTTCATCCACTGTAACAGGTGTACCACTCTGGTAGGGGATGTTGATAATGGCAGAGGCTGTGCATATATGGGGCAGCAGGAGTATGGGAAATCTCAGAACCTCCCTGACAATTTGGGTGTGAGTCTAAAACTGCTTTGAAAAATAGTCTGTTAAAAAAACCTCACTTGGGGCACCTGGCTGGCTCAGTTGGTACAGCATGTGGTTGAAAGTTTGAGCCCCACATTGCATTAAAGATTACTTAAAAATAAAATCTTAAATAAAAAACAGCAACCACTTCACTTACTTAAAAAAAGTGATCCCCAAATTTCTTTCTTCACTTAGAATATATCTAAGACAGGGGTTGGCACCAGTAGTTAAGCATCTGACTATTGGTTTCAGCTCATGTCATGATCTCAGGGGTGTG